CTTGGTGAAATGAAGGGGGGACACACGAGCACTTCGTCCTGTGTGTCGTCTTTTTTTTTCTTCCTATTCTTTGCGCTTTATATCACCAAGAATGTAAGAATGTATCTCAACATATGTATTTTAGACTTCCATACCTGTGCAGAATTATATCTGTATTCTATATTACTTTCCTCAGTACCTCTGTCCAGCGATGGTTAGTATTCAGATGTGCTTGCAATCCACACATGGAACTCGCATAAATATTGAATGCGATCCGGACTACGCAGTAACCCGCACAGATGTGGTACCATTCGAATCGTGTTTCGAATAAGTCGACACTTTTAAGACTGTCCAAATAGTAAAAAGGAGAAAAGTAATCGATCAACTCACACGTTATAACCTTTGCAGTAGTAACACCCTCCACCAAGAAGGTTAAACAATAGTCATTCGAACAGTCATAAAATGATGCGATGTGAGCAGGGACGACGATAAGATTAGAAAAAAAAAAGCAGACATGAATGCAATATGTTATTTAACAGGACTGCTGAATTCCCAGGCTGTTGAACACTGATGGTGAAATAGCCTGAGATTACAACCAACATTTGAACAACAACAAGTTCGCGCTGCACATTTTCGAAAAGCACGAAAAAAAAATCAAACATACATTTAGACGGGTGAATGATAGATAAAGCCCAGGACAAAGCAACTTCCTTTGATAAAGAGGTTGCGTTAAACGAATTGCAACCTTAAACGATAAATGTCTTACGTAAATTTTTCGTGTAGGGAACAACCCCACCCCCCGTTTTTTTTTAAACACATTGCCTCGCAGTTGCATTGCGAGAGTAGTACTACGTCAAAGCTGGTAGCATAAGTCAATCGATTCCTACATCGACATTTTAACTCTATCCTCACTCACTTCCCATGTTTTGATTCAAAAAGCAATAATAATAACAAAAATGCTGTATGATAATATATTATCATCATGATCATCATCATTATTATTAATATTATCAATATTATTAACAATACCTCAATCAACGATGAAGGAGACTGCAGGCAAAAGTCACTTGAGACACAAGCAACTAATCAGAGGTCTGTTTACGACCTTTGCAATGCAGAGAGTGACAGGACACATTTTAAGCAAAATTAATAAAAATGAAAGAAAACCGTACAGAACCCAGTAAAAATACCCGATATTCAAAACATGCGATACAATTTCCTACCAGAACAGGCAAACACAAAAAAGCGACTGAAACAAGATGATGCATTCAGTTATTATCTGAGCATAATTGATGAAATGTTCGCACTGTGTTCGTGGAAACGTTATGCGCAACTCAATAATTCGTTAAATAAAGTTAAAAGGGTTGGTTGTGTGTATACGCACGTAATGATAATCTCTGTTTGGAATAATTTGGCTGCGATTTTGCCGCCTTGCTGTGTTCCGTTTAACGAGAGCTGTGTGTTGTCGTCAAGATTGCATGACTTAATAAAAAAAAATATTAAATGTTTATTCCGCTTTAGCTTGAACACCAAACTCAAATTTATGAAGTTTAAAGACGTGTTTTATATTTGCTTTCATTAATGCGTCCACAAGAGCTGCAGTGAAAGAAATTATGGCAGCTTCACACCATTGTCACCAAGCCTGAATAAATAGGGTAGCTGGAGGGCCTTCCTTGTTTCTCCTTACTTTTTTTTTCTTTTTTGTTCTTCTTTTTTGTGTGTTTTTGCACATTTCCTCCCTCCTCGATGTAGATATTCCTCATTCTCTTCTTTCTTCCTTTTCGATCTTGCTATTTCTGTCTGGCTAGCTGCGTTTTTTTTTTCTGTCTCTTTCTCGTTCTGTTTCTCTCTTCTATATCTGAATTTATTTATTTATTTATTTATTTATTTATTTATTTATTTATTTATTTATTTATTTATTTATAATACCTCAAGGGTCCCAGTCACGGGGTGTTACATAGGGGGTAGACAGTTCACAAACAGATGATTTGTTCGATGGCTTCTTTGAAATGGGCGATGCTGGAGTGGTGCACGATGTCAGCAGGAAGATCGTTCCATTCTGTTGATGTTTGCACAAAAAATGAAGAGTTATGGGCAGTCGTATGCGCACGGGGTGGATAAATCGCTTTCGAATGGCTGATACGGCAGTAAAGACGATGGGCTGGAACGATAACATGGTTTAGGTGCGATGCATGATAAAATGTGTGAAACAAACACAGTCTGGAAATTTTGCGGCGTGAAGCTAAGTTAACCATGTTAGCTTGAGATTTTAGTTCGGTGACGCTGCTAAAATAGGAACATATTTTATGCCTTCCTTTTCTCATTTTTTCGTTACTTTTCTTTTTTTCGTGCCTTTTTTTCTTTCTCTCTTGTTTCCCTCGTCTGACTTTCTCTTCAACTCTATCTCTTTCTCTTCTCTTTCTTTCACGTGCTTCACTTCACCGAGCAGAGTTTTCGCTTAACGCTCGCGTCTGCTTGTATACTTGCTAGTGTAACTTGCCCAATTTTTTTGGCGCATATATCCAGCTGTGCTTTTTTGCGGACACCACAGTTCTTACGCCTCAATTTAACAGCTTGGTTATTAAAAAAAGAAAAAAAAAACGTCTATAGCTACTTACATCGAAGCAGTGCAAGATTGCTGGTATCCGGCTTCAGATGTACATCCTATCCGCTTCGCAATTTGCGACATCTCTCGCGTCCGTGAACAATTACGCCAGCTGTGCGACAAGTTATCATACCGGAAATCGCTGCTGAGAAGCCCGCTCGACGTGAGCATAGGGTAATATATAAAAAGTTTAGAGAATACACTCCCACAGGCTACTGCGGCTGATTTGCGTCCGCAGCACTCCAAACGGTCGTTGTGAACCTACGCTGCCTCAGAGATGGGAGACCACAGAAAAGGATTTTGCACACAAGAAATAAACATAGAGGCAAGCAATATAAGTAGACCCACAGAAGAGTAATACTGAAATAAACGCACACAACTACACATACAGTGCACAACGCGACACGACAGCAGTCGCAGCACTTCACTCCCGCATTTACCTAAAAATAAAATGAAATAAAAATTTTGGCTATGTTTTATTTTCCCCTTCGACCTGAATTTCTTCTACAGACTTTACGGTGCTCTTTCTCGAAAAAGAGTCGCAAGAAGTTATACCGCATCAAAAAAAAAAGCATTTCTAGGTTGCATGCAATCCGTCAACGAGGCAGAAGTGTTTAAAGATTATGTCCTAGCTTTAGCTATAGCAAACATTTTTCTAGCTTCCCCACTTCTCTCTTATCGTGCTCGTCAGATATTTAAGCAATTCGTGAAGGTCACAGATAACGTTACTGAGCATAACTGCACTTTTCACAAGATATCATTGATGCGGTTCATTCGAATACATGTACCGGTACAAAAAAAAAAAAAACCTAACAACGCGAGCGGCGACTCACTTTTTTCAACAAATAAACGATCTTCTTGCAAACGTGCTGCACAAACGTGCAGCATTCCAAACAGTTTTTTTTTCGTCAAAAGAAATAATGCACAAAGTGAAGGGCACAAAAAAAAAAGCTCTCTGCGGCGAACAGTACAATGTGATGAACGTTAATTTAGCGCTTCAGTGACGAGTGCAATACGTGCTCTACAAGATAATAATGGCACTCGTACCTATAGAAGCAGCCAAACTTAGAGGCAAACAAAACAAGCAAGGACCACGACGCACGTCGGGCACGTTCTCACACATCTCGCGTCTCCCTGCTGCTGTCCCTACTTCTTCATTACATTAAATGCTCATGACCGCGGAGCGTGAAAACGTTGCCGTATCGTCAACGCTATGTGCACTTCCCTCGCATCTGATTCATGCCAAATCCTGCCCTTCCATGCGTACGCGAGGTGATAAAGGCGGTTAAGAAAGCCGCCATCGCAGTCGCAAAGACACGTAGACGTATAATTCACTAGAAAAGTTAGTGTAGTAAAAACTAATATACGCGCGTTTACTTAAAAGCAGTGAGGGAGGGATGTGTTGCCACCTTACAGCCGGCGTGAAGATGCGTATAATTGATTGATTGATATGTGGGGTTTAACGTCCCAAAACCACTGATGATTATGAGAGACGCCGTAGTGGAGGGCTCCGGAAATTTCGACCACCTGGGGTTCTTTAACGTGCACCCAAATCTGAGTACACGGGCCTACAACATTTCCGCCTCCATCGGAAATGCAGCCGCCGCAGCCGGTATTCGAACCCGCGACCTGCGGGTCAGCAGCCGAGTACCTTAGCCACTAGACCACCGCGGCGGGGCGTGAAGATGCGTATAGCCGCCGCTTTTGGCCAGAGTGACCGTTATGGGCAGTAACAGCACACAACTATCAGTCCTGCTTCAGAATGACCACTCTTAATTTTTATTATGTTACTCTAGTGACGTGAGTGCAATATACATGTCACCGGTTTGAGATATAACGTATTAGAAATAAATGGCCTATACTTCACTCCAAAAGTGCAATGAACTGTTGTTCACCGAAAACAAGTGTATAGATAGCGATCCGTTTGTCGACACCGAGATAAATCAGCTTGATTGGTTTGTGGGGTTTAACGTCCCGAAACCACCATATGACAATGAGAGACGCCGTAGTTGAGGGCTCCAAAAACTTCGACCACCTGGGGTTATTTAACGTGCGCCGAAATCTGAGCACAAGGGAAATACTTCTGGTCACAAGAAATGATATGATATGTGGGGTTTAACGTCCCAGAACCACCATATGATTATGAGACGGCACAGGTCACAAAAAAAAACAAAAATATTTTATTCTATACAAAAAAAATTATTTTATACTTCGTACAGGCAGCATTCCATCAGAGTGAAATGAAACACCTGGTCGCCCAATCAGATAAATGAAAATGAAACCGCTCTATGTACACTTAAAAAATGCCTCAAACAGTTGTTCACCTGGAAACAAGCGTAGATAGCGGGACGTTCGCAGACATTCAGATGACGCAGATCAGACGAAAACAAACGAAAACATACTTCGCACACACAGCATTCTCTCGGAGTAAAATGAAACGAGCCTGCAAGAGCCGGCCGAACAAAAGCATTGACGTTGTAATTTGCAATGTACAATATTAGCAAAACAGCTGACAAGTTTTCGCGATATAAAAAAAAGCCCTCGACACTGAGTCCTTAGAGCGAGTCCCGCATCGAGGAACACACCGCGAAAAATGAAGCCCTACATGACCTGGACGTTGCTTCTCGTAGTGCATCAACTAGGCCTCGTTTGCAGGTGAGTTGCGCCACATTTATTTCAAATATTGAATATTTTTCTTTAACATCGTGTGGTACTGTAACCAGGAGCCACCTTTGCCGCTTCTACTGTGGGCTGCGATGAAAGCTACCTAGTTGAAAAAGACAAAAATATAAAATAAGGAGATTAGTAATAATAATAGTAATAATAATAATAATTGCGCGGGTTTAACGTTCCAAAACCACCATGGAGGGCTGCGGTAATCCAGACCACCCGGCGTTATTTAGCGTGCGCCTAAATCTAGGCACACTGGCCCCAAGCATCTTCGTCTCCATCGAAAATACAACCGCCGTGACCGGGATTCGATCCCGCGACCTGTGGGTCAGCAGCCAAGTGCAATCAGGGCGCGGCAGGTGTCCCGCCACGTGCGCTGTGGCTGTGAGTGTAGCGCGTGTACAAGCCCTAAGCCAATAGGCCACCGTGGTGTGTCTCTCAACGCCGTGGTGTGTCTCTCAACGCGTACTCTGTCGTCGTACAACGCCGTACGACGACAGAAAACTTTGGTGTCTGTATTTTGGGAGAACACAAGCCGTTGTTTGCCTGCCGTCTGTAACGAAACTCTGTTGGAGATCTGATATGTCCAGTGTGTCAGAACGGAACAAAAACCGGAAACGAAAAAATAAATTACATTTTGGGCAGAATGAAAACGTAACCAACGCAGTTCCGGAATAAGACCAAAGTATATTTTACAGTTTTATGCTTCCCGGTAAGCATCGCGATTCGGAAAATCCGAGGCCACGCAACGCGAGAGTAAAGGAATGGCTTTGGGGACCGTATTAGTGCGTATCTAGGGAAGAAATTTGAAATAAAGACGAGTTGAAATATCGCGAAAAACGAAAAGACTGTTAACCAGAGACGTGTATATTAACGTTAGTGGACTTTAGCGCACCTGTCACACAAGCCGGCAGAGAGAGAGCATTCTTGGCGCTCAAGTTTCTTTCATCAGAACCGGCGGTCGCGCATAAAGGTGGTTATTTGCTCAGTGACGAACTCCTTTCGAGACCATGCTCAACTCATTGACCCAAAACGTTGAGCCTGCGCAGATAATTCGTAATTCGCTACTGAGAAAAATAAATACTGTAACTTAAAACAAGGTGAGCTAATGTAGAAATCCTTGATATAGTTGGTTGTACTCCTTTTAATGAACGGGGGGGAACGTGTTTTACCCCTGTAGAGAAGCGCAATAAGACATACCACGAATCCTACTTCTTTTCCCGGTACAATAGGTGCAATTTATTTAAATGCGATTTTTTTCTTTGCGTACTGCAGGTACTTTTAGCGTGTCTATCCACCTATCGGTCTATCTAGCCGCCTACATAAGGGGTGCTCTCATGATCCCCCTTTTAACTTGCGGTAAAGCGAAATGAGTATAGTAGGGTAAGGTGGTTTGACTGGTATGACCTACTGGTCATGACATGAAAAAAGTCGGTAGATACCACGTGGTTTGGGAATAGACGCCACGCGAAGAATGCGGAGGGAAGGTGACTGTATTGCGATTTTTATTGGGCGAAACGTTACGAAGTGATGCTAAATATGTGGTACATATGCACGCACAGACTTCAGACAGACGCGTATGTTTTATATCGCAAGTTGTTTCCAGATTCGTAACGATTCCAGGAACAATATCGATATTAGTAATACCAGAAGCGGCAAGCTAATATGAAGCGCTGGTTTTCGCGCGGATGCTAGCGTTGGGCATGCTACCTAAAAACTTGAAGTGAAAGTTATGCAAGTTGGTCGTTCATAGTTGGATGTAAAAACAGCGCAAAAATATTTTAGGCACTCTGTTTACATGTCGGCAAATTTCCTCCAAGGCAGGCGTCAACTTGTATCCGTTGAACATTCTCACAGCGCGTTCCCAATCATCAAAACCGGTAGTTCCACAAGAACCAATTCTTAGTCCGCTGCTATTCAATATTTTTGTAAATGACCTTCACAACGCGATACCGGTTTCTATATATCAATACGCCGACGAAACTGGGATCGTGACGACTGCAAACAACTTTTATGAGGCGATTACTCTTCTTCGGTCAGCTGCCACTAAAGCCATGGATTGGTTTCGAGATAACCTTATTAATATAAATGTGTCTAAATCTAATCTAATCTGCCTCCATAATCCATTAAAGAAAGTAACCCTTGACTATCCTTTCATTTTGCATTGTTCTGACTGTTCTTCCTGCTCTTGTAGGCCATTGCAGTATTCATCTGTTGTGAAGTACCTTGGCTTATACATTTACAGCGACCTTTAGTGGACTAGTCATCTCGCCTATGTTTGCGAAAGACTTCGCGCTGTGTCATGTCTGTTATATAACATAAGATACAACATGCCGTTTTCAGTACGTAAGATGATAGCACACGCTTTAGGTTACAGTATACTGCGTTACGGAATAACCGTTTACGGACACTGTGCTGTCCGATGGCACAATAGAATAAACAGAACATTGCGTTCGATTTAAAAAAAAATATATCTTACGACCTGAACATGAATACTGAAAGAGACATTTTCAAAACGCTGTTTGTGCCAAACTTCAATGATCTGTTAATTCAAATGGTTGTTTTAAAACATTTCTGGTTCAAAGAATTCATGGTTTCGTATGTGACTTCTCGTTCTTTAAGGCCCAAAGTACGTTACTGTAGGCCACGGTGTTCAACAAAGTATGGAACTTGAATACGAGCCCATTACGTCCCAACCGATTTCAATGTACTACCCCCCAGCATTTTTCGCACAAAAACAAAATACGAATTAAAGAAACTGCCACGCCATATCTGTCTATAATTGTAATGCATGTCGTGTGTTATTTCATATACACTCATTCGCAAGCATGATGCTGCACAATCATCCAGTGTGGTACTTTGCTTAGGAAGCAATTGCTATAATTCTGTTCTTTTTTTCTTTATACCTTTTCACTTTCAATTGCTGTAACTATTGTATAATGCTTGTATGCCCTGTTGTTTTTAATCTTATATGCACGTTGTTTTTTTGTCCTATCATCCCTCTTAGGCCATGAAATACAATCTTGTAACGCGTCCGGTTTGTTTTGCTGTCTGCCAGGCTCTGCCACTCAAGCCACCAATTGGCTTTGGCAGGCCTAGTCACATGCACTGTTTTATTTGTAGAAACAAAAGGTATTATTATTATTATTATTATTATTATTATTATTATTATTATTATTATTATTAACTGCTATATAAATCAACTTCACCGGATGGCGCCTAACTAAAGTTGACCTTAACTCGACATGACGCCTGTATCACAGGATAAGTAACGTTTATAAAAGTAGATAGCCAGCACTGCGAACACCATTGACCTTTCACGAACATTTGAGTCGATTTGAAAAAGAGTTCCGAGACGAGGCGCGACTCTACGGTATAGAACCATCAGGCTATCGGCAAGCTTGCTTGTACCTCGTGGCTTGTACCCACTATACGGGGGATTGCCTATCATACCAGCGGTCAAAGTAATGGGGAAAAACAATTTTAAATTTTGATGAAGAAAAAGTAATTATACGGTCATCTAGCGAATATAAAATTAGACAAATATAAGGTAACCTACGAATAAACTTGGTAAAGAACCAAGAAAAGAAATGAATAAATAAATGATAATTCCAAAGAAATTACACCATTTCCCGTTTTCCTCCCCTTCTCCTTCCTCGGCTCATAGCCGTACAATTATGTTTTCCAGGTCTTTAAGATACGTCGTATCACTGTTCTCTATTAAACACTCTTCATTAAGCTTTGGGGTGGTTACCGGACAGATTTCTTTGGCACATACCCACTTGTTGGGATAACTGCTCTCTCTATTTTTGCGCTGCAAGGGTCAGGAGAGGAATTTATCCTATGTGTGTGGCGTTTAACCGTTCATGAGGCCCGCAAGTGTTACCACGTATCGCGGACGTGAAGGGCTTGACCAAGAACAGCGTCGCCGTTAGGACGTGTACTATTGAAGAAACTGCTTGCAGTCAAATCGTCTACAATGGTCAGTTAAACGAATACAAACTGGGCCATCGAGCAAGTATGCGTGCTCCCTTACACGTGAGCTTTTTTTCCCCTATATGAATCACCCATATGCAAGCGGTATGCTGCGTACACAACAGCGTGCGCGCACTACATGAAACATACAACATCCATACCTCTCGACTGGTTTCCTTTTTATTGCGACAGCAATTACACGGACAGCCTCAGCTGGTTTTTGCAGTCGCCGCCACCGTCATTCACGTATATACATGTACTGGGAAGGATGCACTCGCCTTCTCTTTCTGCGGAGCGAACATCACCTTTCCAGGCCGGGGTCGTTTGCGCGTGCGCTTATCTCATGAGCGAACAAGAAGAGGGGAAGGAAGGGATAGTTGCAACGATCAACGTGCGCCTCGTGCCCCCACAGAAGGTGGGAGCTTTACGGGCTGCATGCACTCTCAGCAAGAAAAAACGGGGACAAAGTGCCCCTGAAGCCGCCGTGTTCTCTTAAGGCGCGTCTAGACTAGAAGAAACGACGCTCAATTCGGTCTGCCTACTGTTTTTAGCAGTGTCATTTGCCTTGTCGTCGTCATATTTACGCTACCACGCAAACAGTCCGCCGATGGTCTCTGGAAGACTCCGTCCGTGCCTTGTCCTGCTCACAGCCTGTCGTTGGCCAATTCTGTAGTCACACTGGAGGCACACGCAGCGGCACCGACTGAACTTGTACGCCTGCACGTCGTTTTCGGCCATGCTCCCTGCTCTGCCATTCTCCCTCTCCGGCAACGCGGCGCAGACCCCGCCATAATTCACAGCGTCGAGGGATGGGGGTGGAGATGCACAAAAGAGAAACAAAAAAAATGCTTCCGTGGGGTGCACAAGATGCTTATTCAAACACCATCGAATCCTTGGAGCATTATTATCTCCCCCAAGATTTCCCTCTTCGTGGTCGTTTGAAGCAAAGACGTGGGCGAAATTTCGCTCAGCCACAGATCTTCCGACGACACACTGACGACAGGTCTGCCGATTCATATTGCTGGTGTTTTCGGTCTAAGAAGTTGATTCTTAAGAGAGAAAGTTAGAGAAAAGTGCGCCCCACCCCGTAACTGTCTGCTTCAGTGAGCGACACCTCAACAGTAGCTCAAAAAGAAGGAGGGTGAGCAGGGATAAAAAGGGTAGGAGCAAAGGTGTAGAAAAGAGAAATAGACGCGAGGTGGTAAGCCAGAGGAAACGACAACAAACCGAGGGGATAGGAGAGATAGGAAAGATGGAAACACGGTCACAGGAGTCCGAGCACGGGGCACCACTTGCGAGAGCTCTTGTCAGCGTCAGTAGATGGCGTAGAGCAAGTCCAGTTGGTCAGAGCTACACTGTCGTCGAAGGTCGTCGGCGTCAGGAGGTGACGTAGGGCGAGCCCATTCGGCCAGAGCTACGCTGACGCCGGAGATCACGAGGGCACAACCGGTCGGCGCGGAATCGAGCAAGCGAGCTCCGATTTTTTTTTTCGGTCTATCATTATGCTACGCCACGGCCACATGCTGTCTTTTGAAGCGTCGTCGTCGTCGACGGCCTAGTGTGACCATAAGTTCTCGCGGCTTCGTCGGCAGGCGACTTGTCGGCCGATGGACAGCGTCTGCCTCGTGTCCTCGTCAGGGTCATGTCAGAGCCATGTCGATCTAGAGTAAATGTGTTTTTACACCAGGATTTTGTAGAGTTACGCGAGATCAAATGCTAGTCTTGCTTCGTAAAACATTCAAATATGTTAGTATCACAATTATTGTTTCACACCTCTGGCAAAACTGACTTTTTTTGCAAACGATAGCAAGTTTTCACTTCAAAAATCAAATGACCAGCGTATGCCAATTTTCTTTCAGTTCTACAGATTCGGAGCCACTATTTCTGACGCCGTTAATTGAGCAGAACAATTACCAAGAAGCAAGGGCCACAAGCAGAGTGGAGCTCTTCGCGAAAGAGGCAGACGCTACGGCTCATTCGGGCTTCATCACTGTGAACAAGACAACCGGAAGTAACCTCTTCTTTCTCTACATACAGGCGAAGGTAAGTGTGTGCACCTATAAAGATCCCGTTTTAAACTATCATAGAATACTCAGCATACGAGTACGATTGATGTGTACGATTTATTTATTTATTTAATTTATTTATTATTACTCACTCCCTTTTGCCCCTCTTGCTTGTAAGGACCCATACATGATCGTCTCTCTGTCATCTTCAAATTTCCACGGCACTGCGTATAAAAGGTCAAAAGGACTGCTGCTAGGCCCCCTGTAAATTTCCAATTTTCATCTGTCCACCTCGCTTTTTTTAAGTTATAAAACTCTCTAACAGTGCCCACCACTAGACTTCAAAGAAAAAAACAATATCATATTTGCCACTTAAAAACTGTCACAAGGCCCACCACAAGGATTCCAATCAAAAACATAATTCATTTTCACTACTTCAACATATGAAATTACGTTACATTTTCCGAGCTCACAGAGCATGAATCTTTCAGACAAATCCTTCGACAGCGCCGCTGATGCTGTGGACGCAAGGTGGTCCGGGCCTCTCCTCCCTGTTCGGCCAATTTCTCCAGATCGGACCCCTAGCCATAGACGCCGACGGAAGGCTACACGAGCGGCTACAGACTGTCCAGAAAGACGCGAGCGTCATCTACCTCGACGTGCCCGTCGGAGCCGGCTACAGTTTCACGAAGGACCCCTCGGGTTACGCGCAGAGCCTGGAAGACATCAGCGCGGCGGTCGTGGAATTCCTGAGGCAGTTCTTGGTACTCTTCCCCGAATACAAAGGGCGGGATTTCTACGTCGCCGGGGAGTCGTACGGAGGTAGGGATTCACTTCAAGTAATGCGCTTGTGACACGTGTGTGGTCTCTCTCTTTCTCTATCTCGCTCGCCCCTCCTTTTGAGAGCATGGTTGTTCTACGTCTGAGCATAACGACACATAAGTTTTCTGCGACGCGTGTCACGCTCCGGTTCTCAGATACACCCACAGATGGCGCGACCAGCTCGGTCACCAACGAAGTGGTCACCGTACAGTGAGACGAAGAAAGGTGGTTCAAGCGTGGTTAGGGCCTAAGGCCACTGACGGCGGGGGGTGGCTACAGCTACCTTATAATTTCCACCTGCACCCTTTGCCCTCCCCCCAAAAGCAAGGATAACCGAAGCACTACTTCCGACTGTTTTATGAAAATTGCTAACTCGTCAACCTTAGCGGGTACCAGTTCATCAGACATACGACCACTATTTGACTGAGACAGTCGATTTCATTGGTTATGTGCGCAGATCAGTTGCAAAACACTGCTGCTGCCCCCCCCCCCCCCCCACTCATGTCCTGGAGGAAATCAGCGATCACCGCGCCATACATTGATGCTTATCACTTCCACTGCACGATAAAACCATAACTGACAAGCGCATCCTCAATTATGCACGCACCAATGTCGAGAAAATGAATCATATGCTGGAAGAGTTTACACCCCAGTTCGAAGTCATCTTTGCAAATCGGACTGCAAATGAAAACTGGATTAAATTTCGTGACATTAAAACAAATCGAAGATAGTTGCGTACCAAAAATGGCTATTAGATCAACCAAAAACGATCTGTGGTTCATACAGGATGTGAAAAGAAGTCTTTATAAAAAGAAGCGTGCATTTAGGAAGGCGTCTCAGACAAAATCGACAGTAGACTGGGATAACTATAGGAATGTATCGAGAAAAACCGAAGCTATCATTAAGGAAGCCAAACAAAAATTTTTCCATTGCACACTGCCTATAACCTCCTCAAAACTGACCCCAAAAAACTCCGGCACTCTGGCAAGTGGTAAACCCTAAAAACACTGATTCTTCGACCTTGCTGGACGGTGAGCATGGCGATTCTCCGTCGGCTGAGGAAACCGCGGAAATATTCAGCGATCAATTTGCATCGGTATTTTCAAATGAACTTTCATTAGATTGACTCTACCTAGCAGAGACCATCATTCATGATATCTTTCTCCCAAAAGAAATCATTGAAAATGACGTAGCGCGTGCCATTGAGCGACTTGAGTAGAAGATGAGTCCAGGGCCCCATAACATTAGCTCCAAACTTCTGAACTTAACCGCTGAAAAATCATTGTACCTATTGAAACTAATATTTCAGCAGTCACTGAACACAGGTTGCGTTCCATATGATTGGAAGTCAGCGTTAGTGGTACCTATATTCAAATCTGGGTTAAAATGATTCCACGAATAACTTATGGAATCCATTAACGAAGTTAGAGAAGCGCAAGTGTCTCTTGAACAAAAAGTGGCAGAATTAGACAGCCGATTATGCGCAGTTGAGGAATGTGTCCGGGTCTCAGACAGCGAGCCGAATCGTCAACGGGTACCGGAGGTACTTTCGGTTAACAAGCGCCTTGACGAACTTGAAGATCGTTCTCGCCGAGAAAACTTGATTTTTTATGGAATAGAAGATTGCGATTCGGAAACGTGGGCGCAATCAGAAGAAAAAATTTGCCAAATCCTCAATGAAACTCTGAAGCTAAACTTGGGAAGTAGCGACGACCGCATATCCCGCGCGCACAGGCTAGGCAGATTCGTAGTTGGCAAATCTCGACCAGTGATCGTAAAATTTGCTTCTTTTAAGTTCCGAGAAAGCATACTGCAGTCTAGAAGTAGTTTTCGCGAGTCTCATGTGTCAATCAGCGAGGATTTCTGCCGCGCAACAAGAAGCGTGCGCAAGAAGCTTTTTGAATTCGGCAGGGCGAGTGGCGAGAAGTATACCGTCAAGTACAATAAGCTTTACATCAACAAAAAGTGCTTTGTGTACTCTCCGGTGACCGACAGCGTTTGTGAGCTGCATACAAAAGCGCAGAACTCATCAGAAGCTTCGTCCTCCGCTACGCATGCCGACGAAGATACGCTCTTATCCTAACAAAGTTCACCCCTCGGCTACTTATCGTAACTACTCAGTTTTATATTCTAACGTACGAAGTGTTCTTAACAAACGGGATGCATTATCTTCAATTTTTGATGACTGCGCCGCCGATGTTGTAGTGTTAACGGAAACCTGGCTTACCCCTAATATTGCAAGTGTAGAGCTGTTCGATTGTGAAAATAATTATACCATTTACAGATGTGATAGAGAAGAATCGCCAGGAGGTGGTGTACTTATAGCCGTAGCTGATTATATAGTTTCTAGCCATATAGTAATAGCATCACCTTTAGAATTTGTCTGTGTTTCCCTCCATGTCAACTATCAAAATGTCATTTTGTGGCTGTTACCGCCCTCCGAGTTCGACGCCAGAGTTTTGCGAGCAACTGCATGATGCTTTGAATGATATTGTCAAAAGGCACCCGCATACACCTGTTTTTATTCTAGGCGATTTTAACTACCCGAAAATAAACTGGTCACTTCCTTCCTGTTCATTAAGCTCACTTTCAGCCGACAGTTTACATTTCGTGGAACTGTGCGAAGACTTTAACCTTACCCAACTCGTAACGCAACCAACAAGAATGGGCCCCAATTCATCAAATGTTCTTGATCTGATTCTCACCACTGTACCTGACCTTGTCCATTCTATTTCATATATCCCAGGCATAAGTGACCATTGTTTCGTGCACTTCAATCTAACAGGTTCTTTAAGGCGTCGGTCAAACAATTGGAAAACAATAAGAGACTACTCACGCGGTGATTATGACTCAATCAACAGTGAACTCGAATCGAATTTTGAGAGCTTTGCTGATGGCTTCTTTGATCGCAGCGTTCAACAAAACTGGAACTTGTTCAAAATGAAAGTTGAATCTTTAATCACGCGATACATTCCCACATACGTTATCAAGGGTCGCCAACGCCCCCCTTGGTTCTCAACTGACTTAAAAAAATTGCGGAATAAAAAGAAACGGTTGTTCCGTCAGGCAAAGCAGACTAATTCGTTAGCCCGTTGGCACGTGTACAAATCTGTCCTTTCCGAATACAGAGCAGCTATCAAGGAAGCCAAGCGCGTTTTTCTTAATGATACCCTTCCTTCAATTCTTGTAACCAACCCTTCTAAGTTTTGGAAAACTGTTAAACCTAGGGAAAAGATAAACATTTCGCTTACGAACTCAGATGGGCAGCCAGTTCGCTATGAAGAGTGTTGCATTGCATTAAATGATTTTTTTGTTACTTCTTTTTCAAGTTGTTCTGCTTCTGCGTTGCCGCAAATGCCTAGTCGTGATTTTTTACCCATGTATCCTGTTACCGTTGATGCCGTTGGAGTGCAAAATTTAATTCACAAGCTTAAGTTATCCTCTTCTTGTGGCGTAGATGAAATCAACTCAAAGTTTCTAAAAAACACTGCATTGTATTCATCAATTTACTTGTCCTTAATCTTTTCGCAATCTATTCAGACCTCCACTTTGCCGCTTGACTGGAAGGTGGGGAAGGTGGTCCCTCTGCACAAATCTGGTAACACACAGTCTCCTCTCAATTACAGACCAATTTCCCTAACCAGTGTTCCTTGTAAAATGTTAGAACATATAATTTACTCCAACCTTGTCTCATTCCTAGAATCAAATTCTTTTTTTACTCCCTACCAGCACGGATTCATAAAAGTTACTCATGTGAAACCCAACTTCTTTATTTTACTAATGACATAGGATCGGCTTTAGATCGCGGCTCACTTGTGCATTGCATTTTTCTTGACTTTCAAAAAGCTTTCGATAAAGTACCTCACCAATTACTCCTCCTGAAAATTAGTGCCTTAAATATTGACCCGAACATTCTTAAATGGATTGAATGCTTTCTGACTAATCGCACTCAGTTTGTAACAACTAATGGCTATAACTCACCTCTTTCTAAAGTAACATCCGGCGTACCCCAAGGTTCCGTATTAGGCCCTTTGCTCTTTCTTATATATATTAATGATCTCCCAGACAGCATTAACTCCACTATAAGGTTATTTGCAGATGATTGTGTAATTTACCGCGAAATAAACAATGAATATGATAACCAATTTCTACAGTCAGACCTTGACACTGTCTCAACCTCGTGCAATAAATGGCTTATGACTCTCAACTCTAACA